CAAGAGGATTCTTGCCATTGACTTCAATGGCCCCATTGGTTACAATGGACCCGAATTTTTCGGGATTCCCGAAAATTTTCGGATATCTATGCTTTACCGGTATAGATATTCGGGTTTTTTCGGGTTTCCCAAAAAAATTCGGGTCCAATAAACCCGAATCCGAATTTTTTTTTTTTGCACATCCCTATCTATGACACTTTCTAACCATCTCATCCAGTGTTCCCTCTAAGCTGAGTTAAAGTGAGCTAGCTCACGGTTTTTTAGCCTCTGGCTCACACATTTTTGTCTTAGCTCAGGAAGGAGGGCCCCAGAGCAAACTGTTTTATGCAGCAGCCAAATCTCCTGCTCACAACTTTAATGCCAATAGCTCACAAAGTAGAATTTTTGCTCACAGGGCTCCACAGCTTAGAGGGAACATTGATTCTCATCCTTTGCCGTCCCCGTCTTCTTTGACCTTCAATCTTTCCCGGCATCAGGGTCTTCTCCAGTGAGTGCTCCCTTCTCATTGGGTGGCCAAAGTATTTGAGCTTCAGTTTCATTATCTGGCCTTCCAGGGAACAGAGTGAAGGGCGGGGTATAAATCCAATCTCCTCCTCCTCCTCCTTCCCGAGTTTTATGACTCTAGCCCCGCTATATTCCTCTGACACTGGCCTTGAGTCCTAACCTGTCTCCTGCAGCCCTTGTGAAGACAGAAATGGGATCGCACACCCACTGACACCCCCTGAGCTCCTTAGAGAATGGGTGGCTCTTTTTGTAGCAGGAACTCCTTTGCATATTAGGCCACACACCCCTAATGTAGCCAATCTTCCAAGAGCTTACAGAGCTCTTCTTACAGGAGCTACTGTAAGCTCTTGGAGGATTGGCTACATTAGGGGTGTGTCACTTAATATGCAAATGAGTACCTGCTACAAAAAGAGCCCTTAAATTCGGGGTAAGGGGAGAAGTCTCAGCAAGACAACCTGTGTCAAATACTTCTCCTGTGACAGTTGAGCTCTGATCTCCACAGGGCTATCGGAGGCTAGGGACCACAGATCAATGCCCCCCAGACACCTCACAAGTGTGGGGTCCTAATCTCTTTGCCTTCCTTAGGAAGAAGGAATCAAACTCACCTTCCAGAAGCACAGACTGGTCCCCAACGGCACCATGAGGGACCGTCCCGCTGTCACCCAGAAGAAGAGCAGTAAGAAGATGGTCGAGGTGAGAAGCCAGACGGCAGCAGGGAGAGAATCTGCCCTTTGGTACCTAGGCGGTGATGCCGTTTGGGAGGTGGGGTGTCCGTCCGGGGCCTTCTTCTTTCCCCCCCCCCCTCAGTGTTCTTTGTTGTCTCTTGGATTCAGCTGGAGCTGCAGTGTCTGGAGGCCCTCAGGGGCCCCGACATTGACTTCGAGGCACGGATCCCGGTGGTGAACAAGACAGACGGGACGCTGCTGGTGGGCGACGCCGCTCCTCGGCGGGCGGACCTGGAGGTGTGGCTGCAGACCCACCCAGAGTTCACCGTGGACCCTCGTTTCCTGGCCGTGAGTGTTCGCTCCCGTTCCTCTTACGTTTGAAAAAGTTGGGTGGCCATAAACGTTTGCAGATCCGGTTGGGAGTTCTCCGCCGACACGCTGCTTTTTCACTTTTTCGCTTCCGCAAATGGTAAAGGCCGTGTCTTTCAGAGTGGGCGCTAGTTCCTGGTGTCCCCCAGACTGATCCCAACATGACAAGCATAAGAAGGATTATTATTATTATTATTATTATTATTATTATTATTATTATTATTATTAAAATTACAGTGTAGTTACAGAACTAGCAACACCAGGAAAACCACTGTAATAAGCGGCAATACCAGCGTTAGAAAGTTTGATTAATTTTCAGTCTTATACGGTGTTCCCTCTAAGCTGAGTTATTGTGAGCTAGCTCAGTTTTTTAGCCTCCGGCTCATGGTTTTTTGCCTTAGCTCAGGAAGGATAGCTCCAGAGCAAACTAATTTATGGAGGAGCCAAATCACTCACAACTTCAATGCCAGTCGCTCACAAGGTAGAATTTTTGCTCACAAAACTTCACAGCTTAGAGGGAGCTAGGGTTGCCAAGTGCTTTTTGAGCCGCAGCAGGGGACTCCCGGCTGGCGACTGGAGTGCACGTGCGCGCGAGCCCCATGCACGACACCCGGAAGTGACGCGACCATGCCAGGCACGCTGGGGGCGGGGCTACGACCATCCGAGGGAAAACCATAGAGTTTTCCCTCGGATGACCGTGGCCCCGCCACTTCTGGGTGTCGTGCACGTCAGGGTGGGGTTCCCCCCGGGGCCCGATCCACTGGCGGCGGGGAACAGGCCTCTGGGGAGGGTGTTTCCCCACCCCCCGGGGGGACTTGGCAAGCCTAGAGGGAGCATTAGAGGGTGGCCATGTAAGGATTCAGTAGACAAGGAACTATCTGTGGAATGAATATCGCCTTCATTGGTTTACACGTAACTTTGGAGTAAACATCTCTCATAAGTAGTTGTAAAACTGTTGAAGTTTATCGAAACGAGGGAGCTTCTATCCTGGATCCTCGTGTGATTATTCTTCTAGATGACTCTTCTGGTGTTATTTGAACTTACCTTGTAAAGAATGATTATTTTCCTGGTGTTGATGTCTTCATTAGTTTGCTAATTACCTAGCTCTTGAAACTGGTGGCTTAGATTTTACACTATACAACTGCAAAATTGTTTTTGTCCCTTCTGTATACCGTACACACTCAAAAGAGACAAATAATCGCCAATGTTAAGTTTTCAATGACGTTTATTTAATTATTTCTTCAAATATTTAGCATCTCATCACAGCGGTTTTCCTGGTGTTGCTAGTTCTGATCCCACCATGAAGCAGTGGGGATTGTCAGTGGCCACCTGGCCCTGCCCACTTTCTAAAAACAGTTGATGGGCACCAGGAAAGATGTTGGTAGGTGCCAAAGCGCATGCAGGCACCAGGTTGGGGAACCCTGGCCCATAGTATAGATTGGGATGGCATGAAAGAGCTGGAGGAATGTATTTAATTTATTCCCTGCCGAAGCAGGCTCAGGGCGGCTTACAAGAACAACGTAAAAACAATAATAACATCAATAAAACCATCTAGAAATGGAAATGTGGAAAAAGCCCAGCAGGAACTCATTAGCATAATAGGCCACACCCAACAGCATAAACTCATTAGCGTATTAAGCCACACCCCTGACATCACAGCATGTTAGCATATTAGACCACACCCCCATGTCACCACACTCACCTTTTGCTTCTTATTCTGTTTACTCTGTTGTCAAAACCCTGGGCTTTTTTTGTTGCAGGAACTCCTTTGCATGTTATACCACACACCCCTAATGTAGCCAATCCTAGTGAGTTTCTGCTGTTGGGTGTGGCCTATTATGCTCCTGCTGGGCGTGGCCAACGCAGGAGCCAGCCGGAACTCCGTTCCTGTGCGTTCCTGCCCAAAAATAGCCCTGCGTGTAATCCTTGAAGAATGGTAACAAGTAACATCTATGTGTGTTGGAGCTCAGGCTCTATGGGGGCCCCAAAGCAGCATTCCTAACATGATCCCTTTTTCTCCCCCTCTTTCACCAGTACATGGAGGAACGCCGGAAGCACCGGTGGCCCCGGTTTCCAAAGCCGGTTCCGATAGAGCCGAGCTGCCTGGTGGGGCTGGAGCGAATGCAGGCTGCCGGCCTCTCTGCCAACGGGAAGAAGGTGAGAGCGTCAGGTCCTTCCCTTTCCCGCCTGCCTGCTTGGTTCCTCGGCCGCACAATAGTCCTTTGATCGAGCAGGAGTTTCTTTTAGGCCTCTCGCGCACTGAAACCCCATGGAAGTGTGCAGGCAGTTGTTGACGGGATTCTTTTAACACTTATTTTATCTTAAAAAAAAAAAAATAGACCTACCTACAGTCCAGCCAGATGTGATAGTTTCCAACAGTAGATTTGTTCCCACTGTGTGTTTATCCCCTGACCTGGATGGCGCAGGCTAGCCCAATCTTGTCAGCTCTTGGAAGTCTAAGCAAGTACTTGGATGGGAGACTACAAAGGAAGCCCAGGGTTGCTGCACTGAGGAAAGCAATGGCAAATCACCTCTGCTTCTCTCTCGCCTTGAAAACCATATGCGGTTGCTAAAAGTTGGCTATGACTTGACAGTACTTTCTTTTTTCTTTTTTCTTTTTTTGGTAAAATAATTTTTTATTTTCATGGAAATAACCTCTTACAGTTAAAAAAAAACTATTATCATTCTTAAACCAATACCTATATTCCCATATCCCCCCTCCCTCCTGGTGGCTTCCCGCAATGTTTCCCCCTTTGACCCTCCAGTACATCTTAAGATAACATCAATTAATCTCAATATTGTTCTAAACATAGTAAATTGTGCTTCACATCCCAGTTTTTTTCTAGGTAAAGTTTAAAGTCATTCCATTCTTCAAAAAAGTCAAGATCTTCCCTGTTATTCAGTTTCTTCGTAATTTTGTCCATCTCTGCCATGAACAGAATTTTTCGTATCCATTCTTCTAATTCTGGTGTTCTTCCTTGTTTCCAACACTGTGCATACACCATTCTTGCGGTCGTGATCATATATCATAACATAGTCTTTTTAGTTACATTCAGCTCTTCCATTCTAAGTCCTAAGAGCAGAATTTCTGGTGCTTTTTTAAAGGAACATTTCAAAAAATTTTGCATTTCGCTGTGGACCTTTGTCCAAAAATCCACAGCTTTCTCACATGTCCACCACATATGATAAAATGAACCTTCATGTTTTTTACATTTCCAACACTTATTAGACATGTTTTGGTTCATATTTGCTATTTGACTTGACAGTACTTTCCACCACCACATGTTTTATGCCAGATCCCTTGATTAATACCGTACCATCTGTCACTTTTTGTGTAATCTTGCAGGAAGAGTGAGGTTAGTGAGTGAGATCAGAGTATTATATGGGATTCTCCTCTCTTTTATCTTATTCTCACAACAGTCCTGTGAGGTTGGTTAGCCTGAGAGAATGAGATCACCCTGGTCTGGAAAAGGGCTCAGTTTTATCCTGATTGGGAAGGGGCCGTATGTATAATCATCGATCTGTATCAGTGCTCCCTCTAAGCTGAGTTAGTGTGAGCTCGCTGACAGTTTTTTAGCCTCTGTCTCGCACATTTTTGTCTTAGCTCAGGAAGGGTGGCTCCAGAGCAAACTAATCTATGCAGTAGCCAAATCACCTGCTCACAGCTTTACTGCCGGTAGCTCACAAAGTGGAATTTCTGCACACAGGACTCTACAGCTTAGAGGGAGCATTGATCTGTATATATTTAGAACAGACTTAGAGTCCAGTGGCACCTTTAAGCTTAATTCAAGGTATGAGCTTTCATGTGCAAGCACGCATTTTCCCAAAAAAATTAAATAAAATTGAAAAAGTATGCATGCACATGAAAAGCTCATGCCTTGGCAGGGCTCTTTTTGTAGCAGGTACTCATTTGCATATTAAGTGACACATCCCTAATGTAGTCAATCCTCCAAGAGCTTACAGTATCCCCTGTAATAAGAGCTCTGTAAGCTCTTGGAGGATTGGCTACATTAGGGGGGTGTCGCCTAATATGCAAAGGAGTTCCTGCTACAAAAAAAGCGCTGCTTGCATGAAACTTCCTTGGTCTTAAAGGTGCCGCTGGACTCTACATTCGTTCTACTGCTTCAGACCGACACAGCTGACCACCTGTATATATTTATTCCACGTTATTTCAAACACTTTCACACCGCCTTTCAACCCCACCAGTGTCCCCTGGGCGGCGCACCTAAAAACACTAAGACATTTGAACAGTTTTATTTATTTATTAATTGAAACTGACCTTTAAGGTCATAAAATAACTCAATAAAAACACATAAATGAACACTGGAACCAGAGAGGAGGGCCAATAACCATTACTAGGGGCATGCCAAAAGAAATAAAAGGGGTCTGCACCAATGTTCCCTCTAAGCTGTGGAGTCTTGTGAGCAAAAATCCTACTTTGTGAGCTATCGGCATTAAAGTTGTGAGCGAGCCATTAGGTTGCTGCATAAATTAGTTTGCTTTGAGGCCATCCTTCCTGAGCTAAGGCAAAAATCTGTGAGCCGGAGGCTAAAAAACTCTGAGCTAGCTCACACCAACTCAGCTTAGAGGGAACACTGGTCTGCACTTGCTGGTGGAAGACACCGATAGAGGGAAATGGACAAATCTCCCTGGGTGGGAAAATAGGAATCCATGGTGGGCAATGCTCCCTCTAACCTGCGGAGTCTCGTGAGCAAAAATCCTACTTTGTTAGATACCGGCATTAAAGTTGTGAGCCAGCTATTCGGCTCCTGCACAGTTCGCTCTGGAGCCCCATCCTTCCTGAGCCAAGACAAGAATGTGTGAGCCGGAGGCTAAAAACCTGTGAGCTAGCTCACACTAACTCAGCTTAGAGAGGACACTGGTGGTGGGATGTCCAAGGGGGAAGATATTCGACCAAGAGTAATTCTGAAGATGTGTTTTTAATGGGCTGCAGAGGAGGGAATGAGAGAATTGCGGTGTTCTAACTTTCCACCCTTGGATTTCCCTTTAATAGGGTTTTATGCCCGATTCTACCATGAACCGCCTCCTGCCCGGAGCAGTAGGAGCTGAGGGTGCCCAGAAGCGGGGCCGCCAAACTCCCTTGGAATTTTCCAACATGATGGCTCTGATGGGAGCCGGCCGGGTCCAGCTAGGAGCCACGGGGCCTCTCTCCTTGCACCACGCCCACTTCCAACCCGGGCCAGCCCACGGCTCTCCTATCTCGTACATGCCCTTCTCGACCGCGGCCGCCACCGCCTCCTCTTCCTCCGGTGCCCTGCTCCACCCGGCGCTGGGCCACGCTGGCTTCGCTGCAGGCCACTTGCACCTGGGCCACCCCCAGCCCGTGGACGAGGACGAGGAGGAAGACGAGATGGACGACTTGTCTCAGGGCTACGCCAGCTCGGAGCGGGACTTCTCCTTGCTCGACGACGACCCGATGATGCCGGCCAACTCTGACTCCAGCGACGAGGAAGGGGAGGAGGAAGGGGACGACTGAACCGGGCCCGGAAACGGACGGGAGGACGCAAACGGGGGGCCAGCTTTTCTGGGTGGGTGGGTGGGACTCTCTGCGCCTTTGGGGTTTGAATTTGACGGGAGGACTCCTGGCCCGCTTGGCACGTGCTGGTCAAGTCGCCCTCGATCCACACGGCTTGCAGGGAGAGCGACACCGGGTCCTTTGCCCGCCCAGCTAGGGTTGGCGGGATGGCTGCTCTCCCGGAAGGGTGCTCCTGTGTGGCTTTTTTAATTAAAAAAAAAAAGGCTGTTAATTTTGGTCAGTAAGTCCAGCCTCTCCTTGACGCGTTTATTGGGGAAGCAGGAAAGCGAAGGCTGCGGTTTCTATCTACCTAGGACAGCGAGACCACGGGAGGGCCCGGCCGAGCCGAGATGATTTGGTTATCGTTCACAACTCCTTTTATTTCCCCCCCCCACTCCGGACTCTCCTTCGCGGCCTGCTCATCTCTTCCCCCTCCTCTCCCCCAGGTTCATGTGCTGTAACATAGTGCGAAAAAAAGGAGCAGGGTGTGTGTTGGGGGGGGGGGTTCTCCTTCCCTTTCCCTCCGTTCACCTGTCTCTGCGTGGGTGGGGTTTATATTTATAAATATGTAATATGTCTTGTGTAATATGGCTGAGGCTGTGGGAATGAATTGTGGGGAGTCGAGTCCTGGACGGGGTGGGGTGGGGGGGTGGCAGGGGGCTGTGGGGAAGAGACACTAGAGCTTCCTGTAGCTGATTCTTTTTTTTTTTCCTCCTCCTCCTTTTGGTTTTTTAATAAAAGAAACAAAATGCACAAAAAAAAGAGACGCTTCTCCCATCCGAGCTCCTTTGTTCCGTTGCACCGGTTGCATTAAAAAAAAAACGTACCCGAGAATCGGGACGTGTGTCTGTGTGTTGAGTCTTTGACTTTGGTGAGGCTGAGGAAAGGAAAACCTGGGGATGGGGGTGGGGAGTTGTGTGTGCACACGGGTGCCTGGAAGTCACGGCGACCTCTGGTGACTGAACCCTGCTGGGGGCCTGGAGGATATTTAGAGAGGTGGCTGAATGCTTAAGAACATAAGAGAAGCCAGTGTTGCATCAGGCCAACGGCCCATCCAGTCCAACACTCTGTCACACAGTGGCCAGAAATACCAGGTACCCTCAGGAGGTCCAGCAGTGGGGCCAAGAGACTAGAAGCCCGCCCAAGTCCCAAGAATACAGAGCATCACTTGCCTCAAACTTGAGAGTTCCTGTCTATACCTTGTGGCTAACGGCCACTGATGGACCTCTGCTCTATGCTTATCCAGTTCCCTCTTGAAGCCGTCCACGCTTGTAGCCGCCACCACCTCCTGTGGCAGTGAATTCCATGTGTTCATCACTCTTTGGATGAAGAAGGACTTCCTTTTATCCATTCGAACCCGACTGCTCAGCAATTCCATGGAGTGCCTGCAAGTTCTTGTATTGTGAGAAAGGGAGAAAAGGACTTCTTTCTCAACCGACTCTATCCCATTCATAATCTTATAAACCTCGATCACGTCACCCCTCAGCCGTCGTTTCTCCAAGCTAAAGAGCCCCAAGCGCTTTAACCTTTCTTCATAGGGAAAGTGTTCCAACCCTTTGATCATGCTAGTTGCCCAAAGCCTGCCCTGGCCTCTCAACTGCTGGTATTCCAAGGAGGTCTCCCATCCAAGTACTTGCCGGAGTCGACCCTGCTTAGCTTCTGAGATCTGATGAGATCAGGCTTGTCAGTTTGGTGTCGTGGTTAAGTGCGCGGACTCTAATCTGGGAGAACCGGGTTTGATTCCCCACTCCTCCACTTGCACCTGGCTGGATGACCTTGGGCAAGCCATAATTCTGGCACAGCTGTTCTTGAAAAGGAGCAGTTTCTGTCAAGAGCTCTCTCAGCCCCACCTGCCTCACAGGGTGTCTGTTGTGGGGAGGGGAAGGGAAAGGAGTTTGTAAGCCGCTCCGAGACACCTTTGGGTAGTGAAGGGTGAGGGTATACATCCAGTGTTCTCTTCTTCTTCTTCTTGTCAAGGCAGAAGAACCTTGGTTTTGATAGAATGTGGTTGCTAACCTCGAGGTTGTGGGTGGAGATCTCCAGGAATTACATCTGATCTCCAAGCTACAGAGATCAAGCTCCCCCGGAGGAAACGGCTGCTTTGGAGGGTGGACTCTATGGCATGATAACCCCCACTGAGGTCTCTGCCCTCCCCAGGCTCCACCCTGAAACCTCCACGAATTTCCCAGCCCTGGAGGTTGGCACCTCTGCTACACATGTGCTTGTAAAGGTAAAGGTCTCCCTTGCTTGAAAACCAGTCGAGTCCGACTCTAGGGTTGCGGTGCTCATCTCCGTTTCAAAGCCGAAGAGCCAGCGCTGTCCAAAGACGTTTCTGTGGTCATGTGGCCGGCATGACTAAACACCAAGGTGCACGGAACACTGTGACCTTCCCACCGAAGTGGTACCTATTTATCTCCTTGCAATTTCTTGCTTTCGAAGTGCTAGGTCAGCAGGAGCTGGAACTGGAGACGGGAGCTCACTCCATCATGCGGCACCCGGGTCTCGAACTGCTGAACTACTGACTTTCCACAGCCTGCAGTTCAGCATCTTAACCACTTGAGCCACCGCAGCTCCCATGTGCTTGTAGAACTCTGCAAAATACTCTTAATGCTCTTGCAAAGTGTTCTGTTTCGCCAGTTTTATTGTGCTCCTTATTCCCATTTACTAACAGCCAAAGAGTCCATTGTTGCACGTTTGTACTCTTGGGGATATATTGCATTGTTGTCCTCACGAATGGGTTTTTCTCTGTGGCTAGAACTACCCAGTCGTGAATGATGATCAGGCGGTAACGCTGTCGAGGTGCCTATATAGTGTGTGAAAATGCAGCTCCGGCTTTGAAGAATGCCTTTTTGCTGGGGATTTGCTTTCCGATAAGGACATCTTCTCTCTGGGCACCTTAAAAGTGTCGTTAGGCAGAGACTGTTCAGACCCTTTAAGGAAATAGAGAAGCATTTGTTCTTAGGAAAGTAACAGAAATACTGTGAAAGCTGTTTGCACAGCTTTGGGGAGGGGCTGTGGCCCAGTAGCAGAGCATCTGCTTGCCATGCAATAAGGTTCAATCTCTAGTTAAAAAGATCTGGCAGGATGTGACGTGAAAGGCCTCTGCCTGATACCCTTGAGAGTCACTCCCAGCCTGAATAGACAATACAGACCCTGATGGAGCATGGATCTGATTCAGTATAAGGCAGCTTCACGTGTCCACAAGAGCAGGTGCTCAAAGGAGGGCCTGTATTGGTTTTGGACAGCTTGTCTGAGTTAGAGTTGGCTGTTGCACGGTACAAAGGCTTACTCCACCAACCACTTGCTTCCACATCATTGCATTTTATTTATTTATTTATATTTCCAATTTCTATACCGCTCATGACCCCTACTGGGTCTCAGAGCAGTTTTACAGTGAACTACTTTTATGTAGTTAATTACCTAGCTAGGGCCACAATTTCCCACGGGGAGGGGATTACCTAACAGTACCCATGCGGCACGTATTCCTTCTCTCCGGCGGGCCTCTGACGATCCGGATGACTGGTGACCATCTCCAGGCAGGCTCTTGATGACTTTCCTCTTCCGGGGCGCAGCTTCTGGCTATGCGTCCCCACGGGCTCCTGCCGTGCTGCATCCCCTCGTCGCTGCGTCGCCTGGCTCCGCCTCCATTTGATCTGGTCGCCGCCCTCCGGAATCGCTCAGTTGCTCCGCCACCATTTCTCTCGCTGCCGCTCCGCTTGCCGCCATTGCCGCCACCAACCGCACTCCTGGCACAGAACCAGGAGGAGGGTGCCCCCTGCCACCTAGGGCAGGTACCCATTTGTCTACTTGTATTTACTTTCGAGCCACTGGGTTGGCGGGAGCTGGGACTAGGGCCGGGGGCTCAACCCGGCCGCGGTGGGGATTCGAACAGCCTTTGTGGCTGTTCGCTATAGATGTTACCTGCAGGCGTTGTACTACCTGCGCCACCGCTCCCTATTTGTAGAAAAAGAAAGCCCGCCTTAATTTATTCGCTTCTCCGGTGTTTCCAGTGGGGCAAAAAGGGAAGGGGGAGCTACCTTTTTGCTTGGCCCTGGTGTGTATGGGTCTTGGATGGATGCAGCCTGTAGCTTCGTTAGTAGTAGTGGCAGCAGTAGTCCGCCTTTCTCACAGGGACTCAGGACGGATTGCACTGAGTGAGTCAATACAACCCACAGGATAAGACATTCGCTGCACAGTGCAATAGGATTAGGGTTGTAGAACCAACCAGACACCTAAAAACAGAACTGAAGCAAAGCACAAGTATTGATATGACACATTTAATGATGCAAAAAATTGCACTGTAGAATCCTGTGTAGGGTGGTGGAAAGTGCTGTCAATCCTGTGGGGTTTTCAAGGCAAGAGGCGTTCAGAGGTGGTTGGCCATTGCCTGTCTCTGGGTGCGTTCAGACAGGGCGTTTCAGCCGGCATAAACTGTACCGGTTGGAACCAGTGCAGTTTATGCCGGCTGAAACACGATCACACTTACCTCCTGTTTGTGGAGCCCATCGCTGTATGCCCGTTCACACACAGCGGGCATCGGCGGTTTGTTTTTTAACACAGTTTGCACATGTGCATAGGCAGCCATCCACAGAATGGCGATCTTCACGCATGCGCAAAACACCCCATCTTACATTTAAAGTTTAAAGGTAAGGAGTTACCTTTAAAGTTTAAAGAGCAAAGTGGCCTCCCTGAAGTCCCGGACTCCTCTAAAAGTTAAACTAAGGACCTAAAAAAAAATGGTGGGCGAAAATCGGAAGCCTCGGGCTTCCGAACGGAAGTGGCTCTACAACAGTGGAGAGCGATCAGACGGGGGTAAAGCGATTACAACCGTTGCACTCAGGATACCACCACTTGGGGAACTAGTGGCAGAATACAACAGTTTAAAGCTCTTTGCAACTGTTAGGGACGGAAGGCTGATGTTCGCCGTGTGAACGCCGGTAAGTACACCGATTCCAACTGGCACCTATTCCGTTGCAAATGCCCCGTCTGAAC